CAAGGCTCTCAACACACTTACTACACACACACTAAGAGCACCAAGAGTTGAGGATATATTATTAAAAAAGAACGACAGGAAGCATATCCAAGTGTACCCTTTGTTCTCGTTTAAAGAAATTAATGGCCGGTTTACTGAAACCCTCGAGGATCTCTCAGAGTACAACAACTTTTAATTGAACCGAAGCCGTATTGGATTAATAATATTGTAATTATATATAGAAAATAAATACGGTAGAAAAATGAGAGAATTAAAAGTGAGAAAAGACAATTGAAGAAATACGTCATAGGGATGATGTATGAATTATGATGGTGCAGTCGAGCAGTCTCTTGTATATATTATATACTCGTAAAATGTACAAGAGGGCTCACTAGCACGTAAAATTGTGCATAAAAAGGGATAGGAGGTTCCGTACTGGGAATACCACCACATATATACATAGACACTCAAAAGTGTTTGCTCGCAAAAACATGATTTGGTGATAGGATCTAATCGGTAGGCGGCAATCTCAAGGGGAATGTGCATACAGAAATCCTCTATAGAATATAAGTCTTTTTCATATACTATCTCTCTTTCTATATATTTGCTCTACTCTTTTTCACCTCACATTTACGTCACACTATTTATAACTACTCCTAATATTTATTATTATTATTATTATTATTATTATTATTATTATTATTATTATTATTATTATTATATCTATTACAAAATCGTGATTTTCAATATAAAAGTTTAATTGAATTTTGCTCTCTTTTTCTCGGAATTACTTTTTTTCTTTTGTGTTATTTTTTTCGATTAAATTGAATTTATACTTTTGGTTAATAAAAAAAAATCTTTCCATCAAATCCATTTATTCAGCATTTAATTTTTAATATTCAAGTGCCTTTAATATATATATATATAAATATGTATTAAATTTTAATTTAATAAAATAATTATAAAAGTAAATAACAAACAAAAGTATAGGGAGTATACTTTTAAAACTAAAAAATAAATAATAATGAGGAGTTTGAGGCCAGAGTAAAACTGGATACCGAAGGACAATCTTCTCGAGTTACCCCACCTGAAACTCGTTGCCCGGTTAGACGGTCATGTTATTATTAAGTAAATAACACATTGACGCAACCGATATCTGATAGAGAGAATTAATTTAAGAGAAGGAAGATGAAGATAAAAAATCAGTAAGAGCAGAGTGAGCCTCTAGTCTGCGCCTATTCGATCCTCGGACCAACTCAACCTGTTATGTTCAAGTTTGAGTTTGGACTGGGGTTCAGGTTTTCGGTTTGGTCGTCCGATAAACGAAATAAAGAGAAACCGCAAGAATTGTCGAGAGCAGGCAGTGAGCTGACCACAGTTTAAAAAACAAAAAGTAAAAAATAAAAACAAAAATAGTTATATTTAACAGTCCGGGGGAATTTCAGTGGCTACCATATATTTTTTACAGCGATTTTAATGATCAAAGCGCCATCGAGGAGACTTTAGCTCTACACCTCTGAAGCTCTTGGAAGTGAGGCAGCACAAAAGATTGTCAGGATCAGACTCGATGCAGGTCTTTCAGGTATTGGTTTACCTGTTGTGTGGTTGTGTGGTTGGTTGGTTAGTTGAGAGAGTGTGTGTGTGTGTGTGTGTGAGCTGAGAGTTACTTGAACTGACTTCTATAAATATCGTTGCTCATTATTTTGTTGCGTACGCCGCTGGCACCTGTCGTGTGGCTTCAGGTAGAGCGTATGTACTCTCAGCGCCCAATGGGAGGGAGCAAGAGATTAAATGATCAACAGAGAAGAGTTTAACACTGGAAGAGCAACACTAAATAGAGTATGGAAGCTGGATTGAGGTTTCGAGACTGAGAAAGACACCACCAAAGGATCACGGATGTACCAAAATAATAATAATAATAATAATAATAATAACAACGGACAGAAGATATGTTGCGGATAGGAAGAGAGAAGACAAGTCAGGTTACCTACCGCCCGCGTTAGTGTTATAGCGTTCGCGTTTACGTTTACGTTCGCGTTCCCTCCTCCGGGAGGGGATAACTCAGAGGAAATACAGACTCCCATAGGAGGGACGGCTGCTGGTTACCTACCTAACCGGTCCAGGAATCCGGGGCCACGCTTACGAGCCAGTGACTCCCAACTTACTTTGTTCCCTCGTTTTCCTTCTTGTTCTACACTCCAATGTCACACTGTCATCTCTGATCATTACAAGTTATTACCACTATCAATTTTATTTTCACGGTATTTTATTTTAGGAAAATATTTAAAACTTTTTAATAATAATAAATAAATAATTTTAATAAATATTTAACAACACATTTTTAAACAACTTAATCTTTTATTAAAATAATTTCCCACGATATTTTTTTATTGGCAATAATTTTAAATTAGTAAAAAGAGATAAATATTTATTGGCGATTAAAAATTTATTATTATACATAGGACTAGGTACCATTAAAGTTCTTTTATCTCTGGCAAAAGCTCTTGAAACAAAAAGAAAGGGTAAATTTTTCTGTAATGAATTTAAAAGTTTATTTCTTTTTTAAATAATAAAGAATAAAAGGAATTGTTGGTGGGATAAAGAAGATTTTTATACTGGAACGAGAAGCTGAAGCCGAGGCGAATGAATTGGTACCCGCAGAATAAGAGTCTGATAATTACTTCTATAGAGTACAGTCGAGAACAAGAGGAAAATGAGAGCAAGAAAAGCCGGGGATGAATTCGAGTGACACAATTAATTTAATGCTGGTTCAATTTTATACAAGTTTGCCCCCTGTAATTATCACTTTAGCCGAACTCTCGTGTTTTATTTTCTTTTTTTAATATTTATTTACTATTTTTTTGCTGTGAGCTTTAATTTTTATCTGTCTATTGTAACTTTAGACATCCCTCAACACCTTTTCACAAAATTCTCAACAGCTGTATATTAGAATAGAAATTTAGAGATTTTTTTTTTTTTGTTTTGTTTTTTCCTTTTGTCGACTTTCTATACAGTGGATATACTCGATAATGCCATAAAACTTACTATTGATAGATACAGACTCTCGGCGTTTATTGTCTAACTCCTTGGGCATTGTCTTCTCGATACGAGCTTGTGAAATAAAGTTCACTGTTATATTTATCATATATACTTTATATATTTTATATTTTAATAGCTAAAGTTTCCTATCAGAGTACTTTGGTACTTATAGATAATACTGTTTCTCGAGTTTAATTTCGTTTTTCATCTATATAAATATAATACTTTTCAAAATTACAAAAAATAAATTAACTAAAGTTTGTTACTTTTATTTTTTTAGCAAACAACTTTTTGACCTTTAAAAACTCGTTAAAAACTTGATGTTATTTTTGGTAAAATAATTCATTATTTTTTTTTTTATCAATAAGTTAATTATAATTCAATAAAAATTAAACTAATGAAATCTACAAGATACTGTAGGTTGAATATAATTAAATTTATCATATTTAGCTTTTAAATTAAATCTAAATTCTACTTGTGTAATATTCATGACTAACTAACTGAAACAAAATTCTCAAAAGTTTAAGTTTACCAGATAAATTTTCCCAACCCCAACAATGGCTGTTTAAGTTAAAAGTAAAACTAACTGACAAGTTATACATACTTATTATTTATTATGTATCTTGCAGTATAACAATTTCTTAAACTTTTGAAATTAATAAAAAAAATAAAATAAACTCTTTTGTGTAGAAATCTAATTTCTGGCGGGTAATTTTTTTCCGAGATTTCTATTTTAGTATTACTCAATTTCGAGAGAAAAAGAAAAAAAGGGTAATCAAACGTTAACACCGTGAGCTTTGTTGATTTGATGTATCGATTGCAGTAATATATGTTTGCATGATAAAAGGAAGTAAAATAAAAATAAATTTGCGCACAGAGTAAAGTAAAAAGTTTAGCGTAAATGGAAGAGTACTGCAACAAATATAAATATAAATATAAAATATAAAATTAAAAATATATTGTATTATATAAATTTATAAAGTTTTATGTATATACTGGTGTGTATTTAAAAGTTAAAAGTTAACTGTTATTATTTCTATATAGAAATCTCTTAACAGAGCATGGGCGGTACAGACAACACCTGTCTGAATCTCGGGTAATACGAGGCCATGAAAAAGAGAATAAAAAAGAATAAAGCCCTACGAATTATTCGCACTCTTTCTTTGAGTTGCAATGACGATAAATGGGGTGGATACCAGCATAACCGGTTAGGTTATTCTCTTCTGCTTTTATTTATCCAATCTTCATTTTTCCTCTCTTTCTCTACATACACATTTATATACCTATATAATGTATTTCAACATAAGATACAGCCTCTTGCTGGCGTAGCGTTGCTCTTGAACGACCTTTCTGAGTAGATGATAAAAGTGGGGAATATTATCAAGTACGTAAGCCCCTTGTCCACCTGGCTTTGTGTCGTTTTACATATACTCATACTTTAATATCGCCTTTTAATTTCATAATAAATAATAAATTCATAAATATAATAAATACAGCAAATTATTTTTTAAAAAATTATTTTTCGTAAATATCGTATTACGTAATGTTAAACTACGCTGTATTAAATTATTTTGTATGTTGTTTTTATTTTTAATGCTTTTTCCACGAAACTATTTGCACTCTGTTTACTCAACAAATATTTTCAATCCATGACTCACGCATATTTCATTTTCTACTTTCTCTGAAAAAATAACCCTACACACTATTTATTATTTTCTTTTAACACGACAAAAAAATTTTCTTCCCGTTTATTATTTAAACACATTACTAAAATATTTTAAAGGCATTAATTAACTAAAAATGCATATTTAATTAATCTTAGAAATAATTTAATGAATATCAACTAAAAAAAAAAAAATTAACAATTAATATTTAATCACCCAGACAGTAGTTTTCGTTGAAAGTATAAAACTTAATTATAGATCAGTGTCTATATCTTACCCATGTATGCGGGCATTATAAATCCACGGAAGTGAATAACTTCACTTTGGTTTTGATTTAATTTCTTCAATATACCGCGATTTGTCTTCAGGTAAATTTAAATCTAATTTATTGGATTCATCGCTGCTTTTAATGAGATCATCGAGTAACGAGGCGTCTTCTATGGAAGATGACTCTGAAGATACTAAAATAAAATTAATATTTCATTTATTTATTTATTGATTTTTTTTTTTTTTTTTTTTTTATAGAGATTGGTTAATATTTACAGTCAGTGCTATTTTTGTGGGTGCTTTTTTCCATTTGACCTTTTTCATAACTAAACTGTTCATCTTGGAGATCTTCTTCATATGTAAAATGCAAGTACGACAGTATAAATATAAGCGATATAAAGAATAAGTTGGTCGTGATTCCGATTATGGCTGTCAATATTGGCCAATGAAACATTAAATATCTCAATCCGTATAAATGAGCATGGATTTCAATAGTCGCTGAATAAAATTCGATGAATTTCGATTTTATTTCAATAGAAATTGACGTTACTGGATGATTCTGTATTAAAGATTCAAGCATCAGTTAATAATTAATGTATTCAATGAGTAATTTTAGAAAACTCAGTTTTGTTTTTTTGAATCTTGCGAAAAGAATTTTGAAATTGACAGCGCAGAGTTAGTTATATAAAATAAACTTACTTGGTCTTCTTCGAAATTACGATACAATTCCAACATAATGTTTTGTTTTTCTTCGCGAGCGCCAAAAATTAGCATTGGCGAAAATGCCAGTGTCGTAAGATAATGGAGTAATGTACTTCGATAGTGTATCATCGTAGGTCTACAAGACTTATCAATGATACCGTGATTGTGAGTTTTTAGGCTTGAGCACACCATAAACATTCCTAAATAAATTTATTTGATTTAAAAAAATAAAATTTCTCTTTAAATCAGATCTTCTTTTACCTAATTCTTTATTCGTTGTTGATTCTGGCATTTCTAAGTATAAATTTATTTTATATGGCTGGCCAACCATCAAAAATTGCTGTTTTTTTGTAAATCGGACAAATGCTGACGGCCAACTGGATGGTCCTTTTAATGTTTGACATGAACTGATAAAAAATTTAATTTATTTTACTACAATAATCTTTTTAAATTACAAACTCTAAATCGCTAAGAAAAATGTTTAAATCATTTATAACTAATTAATAAGCTTGCGCTTGATTAAAATTTAATAATGAGTTATAATTATATAAAGTAAATGTTCAGTGTATAATTGAAATAAAACATTTATAATTTAATATCAATTTTCTAAAATTTAATATTTATAATGAATTAAAAGTTATACCGCGTTTTAATAATTTAAATACTTAAAAGATATAATTGTTTTATATTAACAGTTGATGAAAATTAAGTAAGGACATCTAGAAATTTTAAAAAGTAAAAAATGCTATTTTTGGAACAATTTTTTTTTTTTTTTGTTAAAAAATTGTCAAGTGACTGCTAATTTTAATGTCTTGAAAAAATCAAAAAGGTCGGCTAACTTTAATATTATTAACAATTAAATTGAAATTGTAATGATGTCTCTAATAATAAATGTACCCAATAGAATAATAGTAATCGTTGAATAATGGTAACTGTTGCTACAGAACCCATGATATGATAACTTCTCTAAATATAAATATGCAGAGAACAAAATAAAAACAAACTTAATATTAATACTCACTCAAATTCAAAGTGAACAGGACGTATGTGTTGCATATTTGGCATGTATGCATAGTAAAATGCTGTATAAAGAAATATTGATATCCAAACAGCGACTACTGAGCCTATAAATATAAACCCACTGCGAAAAAATACTGATTGTACACCTTTCACAGTTTGTTGTTTTGCATTGAATAATTTTTCAAATGTCACTTTAATTGTCTTTGAAAAAAACATTTTTTCCTTCTTACTGTAACTCTATCTGTTATTTATAAAATAAAAATTTCAACTGAATCTTCAAGTCGATAAGATATTATTGGATTCAGTTATTATCTGTCTTTGCTTGTTTGACATGAATAAATTACAGCATAACATAACCTTTGAACGAGTTGAGATTTTAAAAACAAAATCATTATCCGTTAGGTACATAAACTCGGCACATTCTGTCACGCGGCAGCACCTGCTTGGGTCTCTAGTTTATAAGTATAACTTATCAACTAAATTAATGCAAGTATATAAATTATTAAGATTACTCTATTTATATAAAAGGTATATCTTAAATTTATTACATACTAAATCAAGTCACATAGATGGAACAATGTTAATTGATAATGATAAAAAAAAAAAAAAAAAAAAAAAAAAATTATTTTCCTTTACGATGTTCAAGTCGTGGACGTCCTTTTTTAGCAGCAGGTTTATCTTTCCCTTTATTTAATAATGGATGTGTTTCTGAAAATAGATGATTGATTATATTGTCAATTAGTTTATGGCTATGAATAAAAATATTTAAAAATAATTTCCGGTGGTTAAAAACAGAAAATCAATAGCAGCAATTAGCAAAAATAATCTATATTTATTTTTATTGATCATTAAATTTTTCTTTCAATTAAATATATTATTACTTTGTAATATTTAAATCAATTAAACTGTCAGTCAGTATTTCAATCAATAATTAATTACTTAAATAAAATTATATTACTATTCAAAATGATATGTCGGATATTTTTAACATTTGCAAATCTAATTAATAAATGTCAATAAATATCCATTAAATGTTATTAAATTTATCACATGTGTGATTTATTATGCAATACTAATGAATAAAAAGTTGAATAAAATAAATGATAAATGATAAAGTGAAAAAGTTACCGTTTTCAGGTGCATTCTGCAAATGAATATCATGGGATCGATATTTTTTGTTGGGTGGTTCTTGTGCAGCAGCTTGATCTTCTGGTTCTTCAACCTCGGGGGCTATCGGTAAATATTGTAATGTACCAATATCTTCTGTTTCTTCATCGGAGCTGCAAAAAGCCGCGACTCTGTCAATAGCTGCGACGTCAACTTCGATTTCTTCATCCTGAGCCTCTTCGCCCTGTACGACAGATTTATCTTCATCACTCAAGTCAAATTCGCTTTCTCTCTCCTCGTACTCTACGTTCTCGTCCAATTCCTTGAAATCTGGGGCGAACGCAGACCAATTTTCAACTTGATTCTGTGCCCAAATAGACACCACTCCGGAGGATATTGATGCTATTATAGGTCTCACTGGATGCCACTGAAAATTTCATTTTCCATTACATTTAATTTCATTTATTAATTCATTTTTAATAACTCACCACAACGTCCAGCAAAAGCTCTCCTTTGGTTCCGTGCAATATTTTAACTAAATTACCGATACTTTTTTCCCAAATATAAAGTGCATGCTGCCTAGCAGAGCCAGCGCAAACGTACTCCCCGTCGCCTGAAAAGCAACATTTTTTCCACATTGTTTTGTTAACCAAATCCTGCAATTTTTGTATCGGCTCCGGCTCCCCGTCCTTCCCACAAGCAAGTATCTCCGTACTGTCGTAAACACGTATCACTCGGTCGGAAGTATTGACAAGAAAACATGACCCACGGCGCGCAAATTCAATACTCTTAACCGCGGTGTTGCTGGCAGTACCCTGAGATATTTTATAAGAAGCATTTATAGTTAATGTCTCGGAATCAAGAACGAGAATTCTGCCACGGGCGTTTCCTGTGTACACAAAATTTCCTCGTCTATCAAAAGACGCGACGATATTTAAATCACTCTGAAATTAAAATATATTATAAATATTTCATTTATTTTATGAAAAGCAAACAATTATAATGGTTTTAAGTATGTAGTAATATAATATTTACAAACAAACTTAAATAAACTTTTTAATAGACTTACATCTTCATCCAGGGGAATAACACGATGTGTACCTTCAACATCCACCATTACAGCAGCATGTCGCATCGGACAGACTAAAAATTTATTTGAATTTCTCGGGTGAAATTGTACTTTTAATATCGGCGATGGAAAACGGTATTTTTGATCGCATTCTCCTGATAATACATCCCATATACAAACATTGTTGTCTGTCGATGCGCTCAGCAATTTGTGTCCGTTTCTTGACCAACTATTCAAAAAATATTTATGAAAATTCATTTATTAGATATTGGATCATTTTTAAGATTTTTCTAGCAAATAAATTATGTAGCAAAAAAAATAAAATTGACATGTAGCAATTTTAAAAAATAAAAAATGCAATTTTTTGGAGTAAATTTATTGAATTTTATTTATTTTTGTAATATATTGTTATATTTACCTGAGTGAACAAACAGGATGTACATGAGCACTAATTATTTTGGCAATTCCGCGAGTTAAAAAATCCCATATTACTATTCTACCATCATTACAGCCCACGGCTAACAATGTACCTCTTTTGTTGAATGTACATGTTACGGCCAGCGAAATACAATCGAGCGTTCCATCAAATTCCTATTTATAAAAAAAGAAAATTAATAAAAAACCTACACTTTGGAATAATAATAATAATAATATTATTATTATTATTATTATTATTTTATAAACTTACCTCTGGGTAATTTTGTCCAAATGATTCTATTAAAACATATAAATAAATAAATAAATCAGATTAATATAAATAAAATTTATTGATTATTTAATACTTACCCAATAGCTCTAAATTCATATTAAATGTTTATAACTAATGATATTTTAAATTAAATTCTATTGTTTATTTATATATAAAAGTGTCTGACAGGTTAAATTTTTATGTGTATATATTTATATATTGTGTCGCAAAAATAACTCCTGAAGTATCCGTCAGAGGGAGTAGTTTTGCAATTGCCCGCAAGGTGTCACCGCGATACTGCCACGCAGCAGTTATTGCCGTCGTAAGTCACAGTGTACTCGCGAGTTAAAAGTTACTGAGTTGGGATCGCAAGGACGTTCATTTTATCTATTGTTAGTAAGTAATAAATAAATTATTATTTATGTTTATTACGAATTTCACCTGATACATAGAAAAATATTATAACTTTTTATACTACTGCTGATATTAAAACAATGGAATAGATGAAAATTTTTTATTCAAAATTCGATACTGAAGTTAGCTGACAACTGTAATAATAAATATCTGCTAAATTAATTATAATAAAAAATGTCGATCAATAATTTTTTTGAATTTTCACAAGTAGAATTTTTTTATTAACTTTTTTTAATAATAATTTTATTGCTTTAAAATTACAAAAAAATTTCTAATGTCTATCAACTTCAGTATCATTTCAAAATTCATATATACGGCTCTCCGCCTTTATTAATCCGAAAGAAAATATTTTTGCCATGAGAAATAAAAGACGGTCACCCATATATACTTATGATGATAAAAATGTTTATTTTTAATAGTATTATTATTGCAAGTACTAAATTAAACTCGTTGAAAATAAACTTTAATTATTCAGTAAAGTAATAAGGCAAATTAATACGTGCATGAAAATTAAATTAGTCTTTTAATTTCTCCAAATCTATTTAGATAGAAAGCTAGATTTATATTTACCACTCTGTCTAGACATAAGTTTTGTTTAAGAATTATTAATAACAATATTTTATCAAATAATAATCTGTTTGTATAATGAAAAATCGAAAAAGCTGTTTCAATAATAGTCATGGAAAAGAAAATATCATCAAATAAAGCCAAAGTACAAACTAATGGTTAGATTATTTTTTTTCAATACAACTTTACAATTGATGGATTTGTTTATCGAGATATTAAATTTATATTTGCACCGGTGTTACTGCACAGCTTTCATATTTTTTTAGTTACCAATATTGACAGAGTCAATCAGAGATTATTGCTCTGTTGTATGCTTGGAAGATTATTTTTTTTTTTTTTTTATCTTTCATTGTCTATTAAAAACCAATTGTTGAATGTTGTATTTATTTTATTGAAAATGGTTATTGGTTGTCTATTATCCACTAGCTTTATTTCTAATTGTGTATATGTCGTCGAGCTCGACTATTCCGATACTAAATTTCATGAATAATAATTATTCATATAGTAAAATGTCAGAGAAAGAAGTGAGAGCTTTTGAATAATAATAATAATAATAATAATAATAATAGAGGTTAATGTTTTTCTTTTGTCTGTTGGTAGGTATGAAGAATAAAAAGGATAAAAAAAAGTATAACGAATTTAAGTTTATGCACGTATATCACACGTCAATGAGTTTCTGGGCTTAAGTAAACAAATTAGTGGAATGAGCCTTTTTAGAATTGTGTTGAAAAAGTAAAAGTACAAGAAAAGGAAAAGGTAGAAAAAGTAAAATAAAAGCATAGCAAGTCAATGAAAGCTAAAAGAAGGTGTGGGATTGAAGCCGTTGCCCTCACTTTAATTCAGTTTTCAAGCTTTCGTTGACTTAGTAGTGTTTGTTTTGCAAGCAAAGAATCGTTGATGAGCATCTGCGAAATCTACTGTACGAGCATGGTTAAAGAAATTTTCAAGAGATAATACACACACTCATTTGTACGTGCTTTTTCTCTCTGATTTGTTAAATTAATTGAATATTTATTCAACGTTGTCTGAATATTTATACAAATACAAGAATTTTTCTCTAAATGAGAAATTACAATCTTTTCAACATTTAACATTTATTTATTAATAAAAAAGATCTCCGATATAAAAATAATGAGTCTGTAATAATTAAATATTAATTAGTAATTTTTTTTTTTTTTTTTTTCAACTTCAAAGCTAAATATTCAATTAATTAAATAAATAATAATATTCAACTTCTCTCAACTTTGATGCAAACATATAATAATATATTTACTTTTAATTTTATACTAATGTTGATATTTTGTCAAACGAATTTGATAAAAAAATAAAATCAGGCATAAGACATAACACATAACACATAACAGACGGGTAAAATAATGCCTTGAATTATTGCCAGAGGTATGAGAAAGTTGTTTACATAATTATGTAAAAATCTCATATAAAAAAAAAAACAACAAATCGATATTTTAATAAATCTTTCACGGGAACACGGACGTAAATAAGTTATTTACACATTCACGCAGTTAACATTGTTTATAGAGTGGTAAAATGAATTGGAAATGGTAGTAAAAAGTATTCATCCTATTTTGTAACCCTCACCCTCAACTGTGAGCGTGATGCTCGGCATACCATGAATGCGAATGCGAACGCGAATGAGAATGAGTATAGTTTTGTTAACTTTTTATTTTTCACTTTAATGTATATGTATAGACAAAGTTAGCTTATTCGATCTTTCTCGTCTTTCTCATTTAGCTTATACCCAAAGAATAAGAATAGAATAACGCTATCTCGACTGTGAATCCTACTCTGTAGTCAGAGCATCAATCATATTTTGTTTCTGGAACTCGAAAAATGCTAAAGGGAATAAGAATGTATTAAAATAAATAATGTATTAGAATGAGATTAGTTTTCTGAGCCGAGTGTCTATCTGTCTCTCTAAATAATCTCAAACACTTGGCTTAGATAATCATATTGTGAATAACTATTGGTATAATAATAAATTCAGTGGTTATTTCTCGGTTTGCTTCCACGAGGGTTCTCTCCGGCAATATATAAAACCATATAATGACAACATTAACGCTGAGTAAGTAACCAGGAGCTCCAGAGAAAATCTTAATATTATATAGGTTGATGATGATGATGATGATGATGATGATGTTGGTGTTGGTTGTGATGCCTCGGGGCTAAGACGTGGCTGGCTCTCATAATGTGCAATGGGTACTTCCCTGGCCTACTCTGCCCTACTCTCAGGGGGTTTATCTTCATTTTACATTCACGGGATTGGAATCTTGCCACGGGGCATACGAGACAATCGTCTTAAGGCATACTTTGTCGTAACAACTACTACTACTACCATCAGCCAACATAATAATAATAATAATAATAATAATAATAATAATAATAATAATAATAATAATAATACGTGAATACGTGTAGTAAAACTAAAAGGGCTTTTAGTGTTACTGTTGTAACAACCTTCAAGTGCACTAAGTAATAATACAACAATTTTAAGTCATCAGCTATATACTATAAATTTATTAATGTAATAATATTTTTTTAGACGCTGGTGTATAATACAAAAGTACGTCCGACAGACGGGCTTGAGTAATTCTGGTGAGGTGTCGAGGCTCGAAAAAATAGGCATAAATCAAAGATAAACCGGTGTAAATATCACCAAGCTTACGTTTAGACAGAAAGGTCGTACGACCGGGTGAGTAGTCGCGTTCAAAAATAATGGCGACGTCGCCAGGGTACTGTCGGGGCTCTCGGGGCTCTCGGGGTTGTCGGGGTATAGGGCTAAATGTTCGAGAGTGTCAGGGGCAAAGGGAAATAATGCTACGGAGGCTTAAGTCTGAGGCTTTCAAGTCGCACCGAGGCCTGGGGGTTCTCTAACCACCATCACCAACACCGTTCGTTTTCCAACACTTGACAATAAAACTTGGACGTTATTTTTTATTACAATTTTTTGTAAATAATTTATTTGTTCTATGTAGGTAGATTGAAGAATGTTTGTTTAGATTGTTTGCTTCTCGGTAAAAGATATCGGTGTAAAAATCTTGGGATTCTTTTTCCATTGTGGATTTAAAAAAGCTCGCTCCAGTGGTAAAATAGTCGCTTTGGGATTCACGACTTTAGCATATCGCCAAGAGGCTGTATTATAAAAGTGATACATAACTGGTAGTAGTAGTATATACTCTACGTACCAGATGGAATTTCATTGGGGACTTTAAATTGTTCCGAGACACACGTTTGTAGTATTCTTTATATCTTTATATTAAAATATGAAATGCCTTAAGGGTTATACAGTCATTGTACCCCTAATATACTTAATATTATTTTACAATGCTGAACGAATAAGTATTGTATTATCTATATTCTCTCCGTTACTTTTTCGTATCATTATCATACCACCGATATATAGGGTACATAGAATATATATATATATTTTAAATAAATTTTAGGGAAAACACTCCTGAGAATTCTCTAATTTTTATAATTTATTGTGAATTAATTTCAAGTTATACGGATAAAATATTAAAAATCGACTTTTTCGAATTTGTAATTCAAAGAACTATGATAAAATTTCATTTTCCGATAAAAAAAAAAAAAAAAAAAAAAAAAAAAAAAATAATTCCAGAGGTATGAGAGATTGGCTGAAAAGCATTTTAAAAATCGCATCTGTTTCCGCACGAATTGTATTTTTCTGAGCAAATCCACCGGCCGATCGATCGGTAAATCTGTGGCCGAGCAATCATGCGTTTATTTGCTCGAGAATTAGAACAGGGTTTTAAAAAAACGTAATAACTATAACCTGCCGAAATCTTTTAGTACGGACATATAAACATATAATGTAACCCCAGAGAAAAAAAACTTTTCTTCAGTTAGTCCATGTAAATATCTAAATAACCTCTGTTATTTTGCTCTGCAGACTCAGCTTAATTCAATATACTTAGCCTTTTTTTAATTTATTTACATCAAACTTACTGAGTTTGAGTTTCTTATAAAATTTTAGGAAAATATTAATTTTTATAATTATTCTTAGAATAAATTTCAAACTACATTCTTATCTAATCGTATCCTTTAGCCTTTAACTTAGCTTCTAATCAGATTCAAGTCTCAATAAACCCTTTGGAATA